ATATATATTGTTGTGTAACCATATCTCGCTTCCACAGTTCCACATTGATGTCATTGCAGAGCACATATGTGTGAACTTATTTGGATGTTTCTTTAAAACAAACCTGGCAGGAGAGCTACCGATTGAATCTACTTTGATGTCATCCATTGCACTCCCCCTCATAACTATAAATCCATTTGGACTCCTAACTCAAACTTTTTAAATTGGACCATTGATATCAAAAAAATTTATATAGATTGACAACACAAAGTTGCCACTACTAGGTTCATTATAAAAAGGTTCTTTTATTTATAATATTAACCTTTTCATTTAAGATATCATATTTTACATTGCTTGTTAAAGTGTCATATTTAAATTAAAAATTGTCATACACACAAAACATGCATGTTGATAGTACAGTATGTCCCAATAGCCGTTGTGTGATAGGAGATTTTACTTGCAGCAGAGTACAAGAAAACTCACCACATTGCAACAATTACCCACGTGGTAAACACAACAAATCCAGCAAACTCATTACTTCCATCTGCCATCAATTTCTCCTTGTTTTTCTCTTCTGTTGAGCAGCACCACTACAGTTGTCATTGCCCGACTTTGACTGTGAAGCCTCCAAATATGTCTTGCTTTTTCTTCTGCCCTATCTTTTACTACCCATTAATATCTGGATTTTTCTTACTGCTATAAAAAGAGATATATCTCATTTTTTAACAGGCCATTAAAGCTGCCTATACTAGTTTCCAGCCAGGGAGGGAGTGGCTGTGGGCGGCTGTGGCTTTAGCCTTATATTTAGGGGGTGTTTAGTTCCCCAATTTTACCAAAAGTTTTGGTGTTTTAGCCTATCTTTTTGCAAAATGGATCTAAACATCATGTACCCAAAACAACAAAAGTGGGCCTTCAAAAGTTTTGGCATTTGGGATCCAAGAGACCCAAAACTTGTAAAAAACGCGTGGGGGAGAGCTGGACGCCCACTACTCCTGCACCCACCCACCCCGCCGCTCGGATCCTATCCATTCCCCCGCAGTCACTCCCCATCGCTCTCTCTCTCCCTCCGCGCGAACCCTAACTCCGCCCGCCGCTCTCGCTCTCGCATGCCGCCTCAGCCGCCGCCACCTCTCTCACTCTGAGCCTCCACGACCAACCAGATCCAGCTCCTCCTCCATGCCCCCCAGATCCAGCTCCTCCTCCTCGAGCCCCAGATCTAGCTCTTCCTACACCGTCGCCCCTGAGCCAGGTCCTCCTCCCCGACCTCGCTGATGGACGGCTACAACGTTGACGACTACGGTGACGGCAACAGGAACAGCGATGGCGACCGCACTAGGGACTTCTTCTCCCAACCTAATATGTTCTCCCCCGCGGCAACGAGAACATCAACAACGTGGCTTATCCCTTTTTGGCTCGAGCAGCGTCAATGCTCCCCGGGTGGGCATGGCGGCGCTCGACCTCCTTCGCTCCGGCCCGCAAGGTGGAGGCACTAGTGGTGGCATGGGTCCTCGTCCCATTCGCGTCCGCAGCGGCAGTCGTACTCTCGGCTTACGCGCGGCTCGCAGTGGTGGTGAGGAGGCGCCACGGCCGCTCGCGCCTTGTCGTCATCCTCCGGTGGTGGTCGTGGACCTCCGTTGCCTCCTGTGACCGCCGGCATGCGCGCTTCGCCTGAATCTGCATCCGGCGCTTGCCGGATCCAGGAGCTGCGATGGACGTCGATGACCCACGACTACAACTATTGTGGAAGACAACTTCGATGTCAACAACCCTTTGGATGCTGATGATGACGAGATCTTTCCGAACGCCGCACTCCCGATAATTTTTTAGAACCCTGCATAGTTTGGTTTCAGTTTGATTGTTACTGTATTCGTAATATATGTTCGTATTCTTGTTATGCATCGTTTAGGATAGAGTTGACAGGGGAAATTGGTCAGAAGAAAATGCAGGCAAACTATGTGAGATTTGGGTTGACCAAATCACTAAAGGTAACTGTGTGAATGGTGTCATGAACAAGTCAGGGATGAGGGATGTCATAGCAAGGTACTATGTTGCAACAAATTTGGTTCATGATAGAACCCAGATTGGTAATAGGATTAGGCAATTGAAGGAATATTGGCAATTCATACAAAGACTGTGCAATGACACTAGCTTAGGTCGTAGATATGATGGAACTATTGATGGCACTGAAAAATGGTGGGAAGACAACACTAAGGTAATTGCCAATATCCCTATTTCCTGTTTATATCTAGAAATCTCTTCCCTTGCTCACTAAAATAAGCTTTGCAGGGCCACCCAGACCGGAAGAAATTCAAGAATGGGTGGCCAGGTTACATCAATGAACTGGACCAAATGTTACATGGTGTAGCTGTTGATGGCTCCACCTCATTTGTTCTTGGAGGAAGTGTCATTGTGGATGAGGAAGAGGAGGAGGAGCCACCTGAGGACCTTGATGTGCAGACCCTAGTTAGCATCACTAGCAACAAGAGAGCAAGCAACACAAGCACCACTGGCTCTAGTCCCAGCAAGAAGTCTAAGAGCCCAGCAGTTAGGAGCATGGATAGGTTCATGCTTCAGAATGCCAGGATTCAAGCAGAGAGGAATGTGATATTCCAGAGACATTTGGAAAACAAGCAGCATGTTGCCTATCAGCTTGCCCAGCAGAAAGAGGCTGCCAGAGTAGAAAAGATTAGGTATGTGCAGCAGTTGGCTAGAGAGTGTGGTGTAGATGAAGGAAACAAGCAGTTGTGGTATAAGGTATTCCAGATCACCAAAGATGATGACAGCATGGAGTTCTTCATTGGAACATCTACACCTCATGGAAGGCTGGGCTTCATTGAGAACTATGGGGTCAACAACTAGATCCTCTTTTCTTATCTATGTCTGTTATTTGAACAATTCATGTATGTTATTATACTTGAACTATGTATGTTGTTGTACTTGAACTATGTTAGTTGAACTGTGACGGTTGGACAATTCATGTTATTTGAACTATGTCAGTTGAACAATTCATGTCATTTACACTATGACTGTGATGTGAGCTTGTCATGCATGATCAATTTTTATACTGCCATATATAACTAAGATTGTTATGCATTTATGTGTCAGAATGTTAATGCAGCGAGGGATGAGGACAATTATAATGGAGATAGTGATGAGGATATCTACAAAATGCTTCTTGACGATGATGACAACGATCTTATCTACGGTATGTATCAGTATGCTATTCACATTGATAAATACTGCAATAGGGCTGAGTGGAGACAACCATTGCTAACTGGACTAGAATGGGTAGAGAGAAAGCTAGGAGATAGAAACAACTGCTACAACATGTTTAGAATGAGCCCTACTGTATTCCATCAACTTCATGATGTGCTGGTTGAGTCATATGGCCTAAAGTCTAGTACCAAGAGTACCTCTATTGAAGCTTTAGGAATGTTCCTTTGGATACTTAGAGCACCACAATCAGTTAGGCAAGCTGAGAATAGATTTGAGAGATCACTAGGAATAGTTCACAACAACTTTGAGAAAGTTTTACAGTGTGTGGTTAAGCTAGCTTCAGACATCATTAAACTAGTAGACCCTGAGTTTAGAACAATTCATCCTAGGTTGACAAACCCTAGGTTCCATCCCTTCTTCAACAATTGTATAGGAGTAATAGATGGCACTCACATACCATGTGTGGTGCCAAGAGATAGGCTAGTTCAGCACATGTGGCGCAAGGGCATGACAACATAAAATGTGATGGCAGTTTGTGACTTTGACATAAGGTTCACATTTGTTCTTGCTGGATGGCCTGGTTCAGTACATGACATGAGACTGTTCAATGATGCTCTGACCAAGTATAGCCATGTCTTTCCACATCCACCCACAGGTAAACACCTTACTTCTGTTGCATTTGCAGCTTCTAGTTGAATTAGTTGAATCTTACAAAATTGATCCATTGTGTAGGAGAATTTTACTTGGTGGACTCCGGCTACTCCAATCGACCGGGTTACCTTGCGCCCTACAAGGGAACCAAGTACCATCTCCCGGAGTATCGAGACGGTCCGGAGCCACAAGGTAAAAAAGAGATCTTCAACTACGCACATTCATCTCTTAGAAATATCATCGAGAGGTCGTTTGGAGTTTTAAAGATGAAGTGGAGGATTTTGTTGCCAATGCCAAGTTATGCACCTCATAAGCAAAGCCAAATAGTTGTTGCATGCATGGCACTACATAACTTCGTTAGAACGAGTGGAATAGTGGATATGGATTTTGATCGTTGTGACCGTGATGAGAACTATGTTTCACCTGAAGCATCCTGCTCTCAGCCACGTACTAGTCAAACACCGGCAATGGATGAATCTGCGATGATGAATGCTTTCCGTGACTCGATTACCCTTGGTTTGTTAAATAGATCATGACAATTCGAATGTGAGCTTGAAATGTAACATGTGTTTTTTTATAGTTGAGAACAATTGAATTGTGTACTTGATATATTGAATAATTGTGTAATAAAGTGTAATTTTTTATGGTTCCTTAGCAATGCCGGACATGCCATCAAAGTGAGTTGCAGCAAGGGTGAGCAGCTCACCGAGCAACTCCAGCGACTAGCACAAGGGCCCCGGACGTGGTGTCATAAACATGCATGGCTGTGCATGTAGTAATTAATGAAGCAAATCAACCATTAAATAAGAGCAAATCAGTCATCTATTCATATGATGTTAAAGTTTTACTATAAATCCAAACATCTAAGCCTAAAGTTATAATGCCAAAACTTTTAAAAAAAAAATTTGGTCCTGAACTTTTGGCACGAACTGTTGCATCTAAACACCCCCCTTGCTCCTAAAGAACCGCTCATCTCTGCTGACCTCCCTCCCCTCGTCGTCGTCCTCCACTTCGCTCTCCAACGCCACGGACTACTCTCTCTCTCTCTTGTTATTTCCGCCAGCCTCTCTACGCACGCAGAAAAAATCAGGACAGAAATAAGCGGAGGGGAGGGAGAGGAGGAAGGGAACAAAAGACGAATTCTCTGCGGTGGAATGGAGGTTTCGGCCGAGTGCGCGGGTGGCGGGAGGGTCAGGAAGGAGGCGGACCTCTTTCTCGTCGACGACCTCCTCGACCTGCCCTGCGACGACGAGGAGGAGGCGCAGGAGGCGGTGGCGGTGGGCGATGGGGAAGAGGACGGGAGTAAGCAGCAGGCTGCTGCGGTGTTGGGCCGGGCTTGTGGCGCCGGCGGGGAGGACGGTGCCGCCGGTAACGCGTCGAACGACTCGTCGGCGGTGACGACTGCGCTCGACAGCTGCAGCAATTCCCTCTCCGTTTCCGGACTCGCCGACGGGGACTTCTCCGGCGGGCTGTGCGAGCCGGTAAATTCCTCGCCTCGCGTCGTAGTTTTCGTCTTTTTCTTCCATGAATTCCGGCGAACTGCTCGATTTCTTTACGCGTTTCTTCGGGGACTTAACGGTTCCTATAACCCGTCCGGCTTCCACCACCGGCACCCATTAAAGTTCTCCTTGAATGGGGGAAAACGTCCTGTGAATAGTAACTGATGCGACCTGCAACAGCCCAAAAATAGCGGCGTCCTAAACGCTCGCCACTGCACTCTGCAGGCACCCGAAAATAACCGATTCATTGACTTTAGCGGCGCCATTGCTGACTGATTTTTCTTGCTCTGATGAACCCCTGCGCAGTACGACCAACTGGCGGAGCTGGAATGGCTCTCCAACTACATGGGCGAGGACAACTTCCCCACGGAGGACCTCAAGAAGCTGCAGCTCATCACCGGCATTCCGCCGGCCGGCACCACCACGGCGCCCGCTCCCGCTCCTTCGGTCGCCGCCGCACAGGCACAGGCACAGCCAGCCGGCGGCGTGTTACCACCGGAGGCGCCCGTGCCAGGCAAGGCGCGCAGCAAGCGGTCGCGCATCGCGCCATGCAGCTGGGCCTCCCGCCTGCTCGTGCTCCCGCCACCTCCGGCTTCGCCGCCGTCCCCGGCGTCCGCGGCCATCTCACCGTCCGAGTCCGGCACCGCGGTGCCGGCGTTCCCGGCCAAGAAGCCGTCGAAGCCTGCGAAGAAGAAGGAGGCGCCGCCGACGCCCGTGCCAAACAACGCCGCCGCGGCTGCGGTTGCGGCTGCGTCGGCGGCGGCGGCGGCCTCGGTGGAAGGGAGGCGGTGCCTGCACTGCGAGACCGACAAGACGCCTCAGTGGAGGACGGGGCCGTTGGGCCCCAAGACGCTGTGCAACGCGTGCGGCGTGCGGTACAAGTCGGGCCGCCTCGTGCCGGAGTACCGCCCGGCGGCGAGCCCGACCTTCGTGGTGTCGAAGCACTCCAACTCCCATCGGAAGGTGCTGGAGCTGCGCCGCCAGAAGGAGGCGCACCCGCACCTGCACCCGCACCACCAGTACCAGCCGCAGCCGCCGCAGGCGGCGCTCGCCCACGTCGGCGGCGCCGGTGGCGGCGGGGCCTTGATGCACGCGCCGACCCCGTTGATGTTCGATGGGCCGGCGGGGCCGCTCATCGGCGACGACTTCTTGATCCACAACCACCACATAGGGCCGGACTTCCGTCAGCTCATCTAGGGACGTCGTCGTCTGGTCTTTGCTCGCTCTAGAGTTAATCCAATAGCCCAGCCCAGGAATAATTCAGCAAAACCAAAAACTGAACTTTTTTAGGAGTTTTTCTCCAGTTTTTTTATATTTTCATCAGATAGTCTTTTTTCTGGAATCTTTATTTTGGTTCCTCATCTTCTTTTTTTGAGCCTTTTTTCTTAGACTCTTCTCGGATTTTTTAGTTTCTGACACCTTAGAAAATAATTCTAGGGAGTTGTTTTTTTCTTAGCCTCTTTTTAATTTCCTCTCTTTCTAGCATCCTTTTGATTTGTATAATGCAGAGCTCCTAGAGGAAGAGTAAACAAGCAGTTTTAAGTTCAAACTTCAAAGCTAGTGTGAGACTTTCCTACTTGTTTATGTGAATCCCAATCTTGTCTGCATTTCGGCGGGCAAGATGATTCGCTCTCAGTGCTGAATCGATCGCTGTTATGATAAGGAGGCAGAGGTGCGCGCAAACTGTCACAACTCAACAGCTCACAAAAAAGTCACACAACTCACAAGCGTGACTGCGTGAGTGTGAGTGTGGTGTGTGCAACCAAACCAAGTACGGAGCACCACTCCTTGCTAACTAGCAGTAGGGTGAAAAAGGTGCACGTGATCGTCGGAATCTGGCAATGCAAAAACAAACCACACCTCGCATGCTCAACCTGAATGGCCATGTTCGGCTGGACATATTACTGCTGTGGCTGATTTGTAGGACTGATATGTTGTGAGAGAAAAACACTATTTTCATAAACTGGAAAATAGGGCTGATTCTGACCTAAGCTCCTGCGAACAGGACCACCAGTTCTTCCCTTTGCTTTGCTCAGCGCAAATGGCTCGGCCTTCTTTTACCCCCACAAGGAAAAAAACATCGCACAGTGACTGTTGGGATATATTGCCAGGGCCCACATGCCAGGCAGTTGAACATGAGCAGGGAAAGTAATATACTGACATCCTGTACATGCAGCAGCGTGATATGCCATGTGGGGTTTGGATATGGTTGCAGGCCGGCCAGAGAGCATTGGATCCAATTCCAACCACTTCGCTGCTGTAAAAAGGGGTTTGGTCCGGCGCTGTTGGATTGATCCTCCTCGTTTGGGCCCATTTTTGGGACGGATCGACCGGTGCGTACCTGACCACCGAAAGCTTCGAATTACCTATTGGATGCATGCTATGCTAGCTACCAGTACCTGTCCTTGCTACTACCGCCACCCGGCCCCTCGATGTGATGACGATGTGCTCTACCTCTACTCCCATCTGGGCCTTGTTTAGATGATGGTTGTAAATTAGTATTTGGCATTGTAGCACTTTTGTTTGTATTTGACAATTATTGTCTAATCATGGCCTAACTAGGCTCAAAAGATTCATCTCGTAATTTATAATCAAACTGTGTAATTAGTTATTTTTTATCTATACTTAATACTCCGTACATGTGTCTAAAGATTTAATACGATGAAGAGAGAGTGAAAAAACTTAAATTTAAACAAGGCCCTTTGCCAAAGCCCTGACGCCTGTGCACTGGCACTGCACTGCACAGAGCGGCCACCGGTAAATGTAATGTCACATGACAAATGCAAGGGCCACCTGCCGGCCAGGACATGCATGCCCTGACGCCGAGGCATCGACGTCTGATAGATTTCGCCTGAAGCAAAGGCACTCGCTCCACTCCAGTGCTTTTATTTCTTCTATGCATGGACAGAAAACAGCTAGCGCGCTGCTTGTATAGACCTGAGTTTACTGATGAGCTATCTTCGTAAAGGGCGTACTCAGTATAGAGAGCTCCTGCTCTATGTGAGGTCTGGGGAAAGATGTCAGTAGCAAGCCTTACCCTCGCCTGTGCAATACGAGGAGACCGCGACTCGAACCCGGGACCTTCCGGTCACAGGCGGCAAGACTCTACCGCTTGCACCAGGCCCGCCCTTCATGAGCTATCTTCATAAACACTTGTTTTTTTCTCTCGAATACGCACGAGTGTGCATATCATTTTATTAGAAGAAAGAGTTTATAATACAATACAAGAGTTCCGCTCCCGGCCGTTAGTTTTTGTGCACGCTACGTTACGAAATAAAACACTTGTGAATCGCGTACCGCTAGCTGCTAAGCGCTGTTCATGTCACTACGTTCATAAGTAGGAGTTCGTAAAGAACTAAATATGGTCTGGCACGGTATGTTTGTACACACGGTACATGTTAGGAAAAAACCGCTTGCTCCTTATCGTACAAGCGAAGAAACGTATGTAGTGACTAGTGAGTGTCCTGGATACCTTCATACCGGCTTACACGCGTACCGTACCGGCCGACTTCACTCTCAGGACAGTTGTGAGTATGCACCATGTATTAGGGCACATGCAGGAGTAGCAGTATCGGTTTTCCGGAAGTTTTATGGTGGTGGGTACCGTACCACTGTCGAACTCTATGACCAAAGCGCATGCAGGGAGAGCTTTCAGCACTTTGATGCCACCGTTTATTCAGGGTTCAGATAGTTGGATGGAGTTTCTTCTACGATCGAGTATATATTTGTATGTGATTTTCGGATGCCCATCCATCCATCATTGCCATGCAGGTAGGATAGCTACGTGCAGGGGAAATTCAAATTCAGTCAGCGCTGGGGAACACCATGGCCGGATTTCTCGTTCCACCACGGAAGACAGTTGATGCACACAACCAGAAAAAATGGCAATGGGTTTACAGGAGTATGTATCATCTGTCAACTGTCATCCACCAATTCAATACCTGCATGCATGATCTGTTAGGACTCAGGATAAGTTTTACGGGCCAAAACTCATAGCCATATCTATGCCGGTAACAACGGGTACCCCATAGGCTGTTCATAAAAGAACAAACGTAGTAACATAGGAAGTAGCATTTCACTTGTTCACAATTGACAACATAATGATAGAAATTCAGAACTTGTAAGAGACATCACACGAAATAGCTTAATTAATTTACATCAACTACTCCAATAAACCACGTTCTTGCATATATATATATATATATATATATATATATATATATATATATATATAGACACACACACACACACATATATATATATACATACATACATTAAGTACTAGAAGTTTTTGCTTAGTACCTACGGAGCACTATTAATCAAAATCACTTATTTAACTTTTTTTCCATAATAATTTAGTTTTTTTTAATAATTTAGAGGTGGGTAATTTAGATGCAAATTTAAGAGAATAATTTTATTATTTAATGACACGGTAGGTATTTTAGATGCTGATTAGGGGTTACTTTGAAAATGTTTCATATGGCCTAGGTGTGTAATTTAGATACATATTTAGGGGGTTACTTTATGCAATTTCTCATTATCTTTCACAATGGCACAAGTGGTTAATTTTGTAGATAACAAAATAGGTCCAGTGACTAATATATATTATCAATGGTGATTAGTCTAGTGTCCAGAATTGGTGGATTTCGTGTTGATTTGTTGTTATGTTGCTAATCTACGAATTTGGTCCCCATTATTCTTCAATCTTCAGTCCAACCATGACCTGTGATTTGTGTGATATATAGGCTTTCGAGCCAGCACGCCATAATTATTCATGCGGCGTGCCGTGCCACCGTCAAGTGATGAGCTTGCTGGGCGCGGTGATCTATGATTTGTGTGACGAGTTTCCGGGCAGCACGACACGATTACTCCTATAGCGTACCATCAAGTGAGCGTGTTGGATGGCATGTGGTATGGCCTGTCAATATTACCGTCCCGTGTGTCAGACTTAGACTCGGCCTAAATGGTCCATGCCCCTTTATGGTTCCTGGCCGGGCCGGACCAAGCCGCCCGTTTGGCCATCCAAGGGGTGGCGCCTTGGCCGCCGTTTCACGTGTTGCCAACTTGCCACACTCGCGGGCGTGCCGCGGCGACCTTGGTTTCGGTGGGAGTCGGCAACTCGGCAGCGGAGCGGCCAGCATGCAATAAGCCAAGCGGTCGCGTTCCGCTGTTTTCGCCTCGAGGCCTCGTCGGCCTGGTCGCTCGCTACCGGGCCGCGGCGTCGGCGTCCGTGTGACTCTGCTTCTGAGTTCTGAGCACCTGAGGACACGTGACGACGTGCACGGCCGCGTGCGCGGGCCCCGCCCGACGACGCTGGCGGTGGGACCAACCGAAGCGCCCTGCCGGAGCCGCACCCGCACTGCCCACTGCCCAGGCGAGTACCCCATGAGCTACGCACGCGACCAGCGCCGCCTAGTAGCAGCTAGCAGGTATAGCGCTACAGCAGCAGGGCGAGGGAGTTGCAGGCGGGCAGCCAGGGTTCCATGGCGTCGCGGCAGCTTTCCCGTGCCGCGCGTCCGTGACTGACGCCTTTAACCGTCCCGTGCCTGCGTGGGCTGCGCATCCAATACTGCAATACACCACCGTACCAGGCGACGGTGTGCGTGTTCACTGAACCCAGAGCGCTGCGTACGTACCTACGTGATGTGCCTCTGAATCACTGAATCCTTCGATCGGTTACTTACTTCAGTCCAGTCTTCAGTGGCACCACGACAAAGGTCACCGTGTACCTGAAAGGCTGAAATGCTCTCTAGAGTTTCATCAGCTCATAGCATCAACCGTTCGTGATTCCAGCGGGGAATCGTCGGTTCCCACGGTTTTCATGGAGAAAGAGATCGGAGCAGAAAATGAAGTGTTTCTATCGAAAGTTTGAGAAAATTGGCACATGTTTCGGTTCTCAAATCTTCTCAGGAAGAGACTAAAAGCCCACGTAAAGATGCTAACTGTTCGTACGACTGGCCGCTGCTTTCGGCCCACCAGCAAAAGGCCTGCTAGTGAATTAGGAGTATCTTGGTGGTTTTATGATTTTGTATCTCCGCGCCGAAACCAGGGCAGAGCACGCCATTTTATGATAGCGGGTTTTTTTCTTCTATCTTTCCGATCCGTGGAGTGGTAGCATCATTGTAGGTGGGAGGAACAGAAGATATCTCATGACCACTTCAAATAAAGTGAAGAAAGCGAGTGTAAAGAGGCATATA